GGTCCTTCAGCCCACCATTTACCTACCCTTCCGCCTCTAGCCAGCATCTCTGGTCTGTTCACTCCATGCCTTCCCCTAATGCCTGTCATTGTATGGTACTGTACCACCATTTTAAGGTAACTTTAAAAGTAAAAATAGTATATTTTCATGTTTGGCTTTTTTATGCTTTGCATTATATATTTGTGTTCAAGGTGTTTTGAGATTTTTCAGGAATTATAAAGGAAGCTAATTTATGTTCTCCCAGAACAGAATTGTGCAAAATGTTGCCAAACTTTTGAAACTGAAGGTTTCTTGAAGGGAAAGTGTGGAAATATTCCCAGTATATATGGAGATATATATAATATATATATATAAAATATATATATGGAGGGGGAGGTACCAAGGATCAAAAATTCAGTACCTTTGAGATTGCAAGGCAGGTGATGGCACCACTGAGCTACATTCCCCAGCCCTCCAGTATCTTAGTTTCTGCAACTAGCTTTCTAAATCATTTGACAGCTGCTAGCTTTATTTCACTGCATGGTATAACATGGTAAACCCCTCTCTGACGGAGATTTTACCAAATGACCATGTGATCTGGAAGTAATTCCCTTTTTCATGATTTCTCAAAAAAAAGTATAAAATTATACAATGCATCTCCAAAATTCCATGTAGCAGAACTGTTAAAAACAGAATTCTGTGCTTGGCAAATGGAGAACCTCACTTCTCCAAGTTTTTGAAAGGCCTTGAAAGTGGGTAGCTGAAATATTTTTGAAATCTAAAAATGCATTTAGAAAATTTGACACCATTTGCAGACAATCCTTAAAGCCATCAGGAAACCTACAACAGATTTTGTAGCATTGTTAACAGCTGCAAAGGAAAATTTTAGTAACAATCTGTACAGTTCCACAAGATGGAGACAACCCTGTGCTTTCTTCTCCAGAACAGGCACACTTGAACTTCATCTTTCCTGCTTCCCCTACCTGTTAGTGGAAATGGAGCTAGTGAAATTTCAACGATGCTCTTGCTGGAAAAATTCTGAGACCTGAATGCAACTCTTAAGGAGTGAAGGGAGGACAGGACAGCACACAGTTGTGGAGTTCTCTGCCAAATAATTTTAAGTCAATGAAAGCACTTGAGATTGCTTTTCTTACTTTGGATCATTTTATGCTTGCAAGCAGTAGTTTTTCAGATCTGACAAACAGATGACTCAGTGTTGTGTATGCTGTTCTCAAATTAAGTTAGTCAAATTATCAGCATGCACACAACAGCAAAGATCACATTAACTGCACAAAAGCACACCAAATACAAACTTACCATTCAACAAAAAGCTATTTGTAAGCATGGAGAGCTGTTTCTTTCAAGACAAAAGATATTTTCTAAACTAAAACCTCAGTATTCACGTTAAATTGCACCTGTGATAAGTGGGTTTGGGGTTGCCATTTGGGCATTCAGTCTCTAAAAGGCTCACCCATCAACGCTCTAAGCTTTCCCTATCAGGGGGTCTTGTCTGCTGAAGCTAAGACTTCAAAAATGCTACAGTGTTTTCTTCTCTACCCTTGCAGTCTCTAATACCTAAACACCTGCCCCCTCAACCTTGCTTCTCTCACCTTCTGCATTCTGCCCTCCCAGACTCACCCAGATTCCTCAGTTGCTTATAAACCCCCAAGTAAGCAACTTCCGTCATGTGATAAAATCCTTGCCAGAAATCATCAGGTCAAGCACTTGGCCCTGGGGTTCTGCAATGGCTGAACGAGAGTCAGCAGCATGAACTGGAGCCTTGGTCTGCCCTGGCCTTCACAGACACATGCTGGGCCCTCAGCACAGTATCCGAAACGTAATAAGAACACGAGATGTGCAATCTATGTTAATTTCTCCTCCGTACCCTAAGATGCATTTCGAATCACCCAATTATCATAAATCTTGTAACGGTCATCTACAAATTAGATTTGAACGTGTCAAATAAGCTGTACCAGTTCTGCACCCCATTGCATCAACACGCTCAAATTACCTCCCATTTATCATACCCAATGCAGTATGGACCTAGGCCTCCTCCACGACAATGGATTAGGTTAAAACTTCAGGTGCACTGCTCATTTCTAGAGGAGCTAAAACTTCTACAACTAACTGAAGACCAAATAGGCCACTTGCTAACATGTCAAAGCAATTTTGCTCAGCGACTTTGATTTGCCTTGAGAACAGCAATATGTAAGATACTGTTCTCTTAAGGTTGGAGTTGACTGGTGGCTTGAATTTCTTATGTTCTACCCATTACTATTAATTTGGCTAAATTCCCTTTAAAGCATTAACTTAGCTCATTGTCATTAACGAGCCAACCCCACAGAAGAAATTGGTCCATTTGCTACCTTACCAGATGCAGTATAGTGAGGAGTCAGGGAGATTCAGGAATTGTTGCAGCCAGGGGTAGAACAGAGCAGTCAGGAGAACAGCTGTGCTTTCTACATCACACTGACCACAGTTGGGGGCAGTGCGGACACACGGTACAATACAGCTCTGGGAGTGTCATGCCCACATGTAGACGGCTAAAGCAGAACTGGTTCATCTACCTACTGAAATGCAGCCCATCCCAGAGTAGATGACCTAATGATACTGACACCTCAGAAGCTGAAATAGAGTCATAAGCCTCCAGCTTAGATGGAAGATCACACACAATCGGAAGGAAAATTGTGACATCAGAGTTGTGGCTGCAGGTGAGGCCTCAGGATGGAGATTCAGTAACGAGATTATACTGCAATAGCACCGCAACAGACACAGCTGCGGGACCAGAACATCTGGACCCATCCTCCTAGAATCTGGAGCGTGCACTGAGGGTTGAGGGGTGCACCAAGGATTTCTACAAAGATCCCCCTGGGAGAAGCTGCCAGGACCCTTCTACCGCACCCTGGTGGCCAAACTTTCTGGAACTAGGTCCCTGCTAATTTTTCATCTCTCCATGGTCATCTTGGACCCTATCTAAGCTGTGTCCGCTGCAGAGCTGACCACTTCCCTGCCCACCCTACTCATCCTCAGATCCCTCTTCACACATCTAGGGCTCCTCTCCCACTGACTAGGGCCTTTCTTCAGAAAGCACAATGACTCCAAAAAGCAACTGAGCAAGGGAGTATTCGATTTGGAGAAAAGGTGGACATTCTGACACAGGGCTACGTGAGAGGTACACTATTTTCCTTCCTTTTAAAGTCATTTGCTCTGTTGGTGTTTTTACTTCAGTTGTTCTTACTAAGCTTGTGTAACATCTCATTTAATTAGATTGAATGCCATTCAAGCCTATCAAGCCGGAGGCTCCAGACCCCAACCCATTTGTATAACTTCTTGCTGTTCCTCTTGCCCCAGTCACCTCCGTATAGACCACAACATGTCATATTTGGGATGAAGACACCAACAGGCAAGCAAGACAATGAAAAGCAAAGCTGAGAGTGCATCTGCCCTCCAGGCCTCTGTCCACTCCTCCAGAGGGCACTGATCCAGTTAGCACTAAGGTGCTCAGGAGACCCCATCTCCTCGGCAAAGGCCCAGGAAAGAGCTGCAGAGCAGGAGCTTCAGGGGAAATCAGAGCAAGGAAGGCCCCATTGACCTCTCATGGCAGAACACGCTGCCCCCAAAGCAGTCTGACACTTAACCCCCAGTCCTGGGCTGCCTACCCTCACCCATTGGCAGAGTCCCTCTTCCCTCTTCAGCTATGATTCTAACAGGTCCAGTCCTAGAATCAAACTTAAGCACAGACCAGATCTCATGCCCAACTCCCCGTTTACTCACTTGACCCTCATTCTTCCAAATACCAAGGTGACACTTATCTCCTTTGGTTACTGTTATCTGATCAGTAAGAGGGGCTGGGACAGCTACCACACTGCCTGTCCACTGCGTAAGTGTCAAGATCTGCATGTAGGCAAACTACCCAGACAATAGATTGGGAAAATCACCTTGGTGCTCAGGATTTGAAGAACTGAGCAATAACTCTTGACCGAGCAGTTAGGATCAGATGGGTCACTTAGCCACACACCTTTGAGAAGGTAAACATCTAATCATCCATCTGCTTCATAAAATGTCCCTAAATTGGCCTCCCTGCAAGATGGCCCTTTAGAATCTATCTTCCAACCAGCTTGTTATTGTACCCCTGCCTTGCTTCTCCATTTCCTCTGTACACCAAGCAAACTGTTACTTGGCATGGGCTCAGTGTTAGCTCATCTAAAAGGCCTGGGGCCAAAGAGTTGAGGGAAAAGACTGCATCCCTGCCAGTCACATTCACAGAGACAAGCAGCACTATCTTCCTGGGGATCTTGCAACCCACATAGCAACCTAAGTCTGATGGACAGGCTCAGAGCCAGAGACAAATGCCAAACCCCAGCAGAATTCATTCAGTAAAGTCCAGGCTGAGGACTGGGGTGTGGATGGCGTCCCATGGTGGATCACAGGCCTATGTTGCCCTCACAGTGAGCTCCAGCACATGGCAGAGGGGAGGCCTGTCACATGCTCACCACACCTGGGAGAGAAGATTTCCCACTGACATGAGCTCGGATATCTGAGAATACACCAGGCAGGTCTTTTCCACAGTGACAGAAAAGCTCTCCACACGGGGTGGAGTCTGAAGGAATCGACCTTCAAGGCAGTTAGGAGTTTGACTCCCCCATCCCTCCTCTGTGCCTTTCTCTCTCCAATTCACATCCTCTAGGGTGTATTTTAGGCTAAGACCCTCGCTCACACTGAAGATGTTCAACGGAGTTCTCCCCGCTTCTCCTGTGGAACAAGGAGCCAATGAAGTTCAGGCACAGCATCCACAGGATCTTGGCCCAGAGATCACACCTGGTCTGCTCCACTGCTGCCCCGCCAGGACGCCACTCCTCAATCTCAGGCATCGCCCACACAATTTGCACCCACAAGGGTCCAGCGAAGCCCTCTTCTGAGTGCCACAGGCTTTGCCCCAGCAGGTACCGATCCAAAGAGCTGACCAGGAGCCACCATGATGGGGTCCAAAAGAGCACAGCATTTATGGAATACAAATAGAGATGGAGGATGCCCGACAAGGCTCTGGGCAGCATGGAAAACCACTTCCCGACTGCACAACACGCCCCGACATCTCAGGGCCAGGAGGCCGAGACGCAACGGTGAGGGCTGTGGGCTCCCGATCGGTTTACGTCACTTCCTGGAGTTAGCAGCACTGCATCTCAGAGCAACTTCTTCAGGTGAAGTATCCTCAAAAGCCACTGAATGCACATCACTAGGATCAACCCCCATGGGCTCTGCAGACATCACCACAGCCCCTCAGAGCTGCTGACCACAGACATCGTCCCACGGCCTTGTATGCGGATTCTCTCCCCCAGCATTTCCCCAGCCACAGAAATTGATACCCAATTTGTCACATGAGACTGATGAGTCTTCTGTAGGCCACCTGCTTCAGGAACTGTGTTCTGACTTCCCTGCCTGCCCCCACTAAACCTCCTCAGACTACAGAAGAGCAGCTCGTAGTCCAAACTCCAAGATCTGCCAGACAGAGGATGCAGAGAACTCTTCTGCCTTGGTTCCCAAGTAAGACTCATTTTGTGGGTTTAAAAGCCAGCTGAGGTCCATGCAACCAAGGGCTCCAGCAAAGCCATGTTTGATCTCCAGCCGTTGGAGGAGTCCACACAGCCACGTGGGACACAGCCTATTGCACCCAACATGCCCATTTCCTCTTAATCAGCCCTTATCCACCACCGCCCAGAAACATTCAGAATGCCAGCAACTAACCAAATCACTGCCCCTGCACCTCTACATAGAATAGATCCTTAGAGGATTGCATCCTGCATCCAAGTAGGGAGCTCTATTTTGCTATGGAGCCTATGCTCAGTTCTCTAGCTCTACACTAAGATGATCTCAGGAGGAAAAAGAATGAGGCCGCCATCCTCCACCCTGACCCACAGTATGGGGAGTGCATCAGATGAGCTTCTCTGAGGGGGAACAGCCCCACATAATCTTGCTTGAGGTCTACCACACCACACAGACGGCACAGAACAATGCCAGGGAATACAAAAAATGTGAAGTCACTGACCAGAGAAGCTTCTATTTCCTGCTGAAGGAAAAGTGGGTTATAGATGAGAAAGTCAAAGGTCAAGGCAGGGATATTTCTCCTATAAAAGTGAGCTGGGTGGTTCCTGTCCTTTCACCCCAGAATTCCTGCATAGATTCCCATGAGAAACAGGAAGCTTTTCCAAGAGCTTCATACACTGACACAACCTTCTTAGATGGTGTGTGCAAGTAACACCCAACTAAATTGTTTCAGCATAGTTCTGGGTGTGGAAGACCCACCCTATGAAGGATTGAGAGAATGGTATAAAAGGGAAATAAAGGAAATACTTCTATGTCCTTTAGAGGACCTCCTCCACTCTTCAGTTTTCACCTTAGATATCACCTCCTGGCTTTCAGTGCACTCTTCAGCCTTTTGATATGGACTTGCACAAGACCCTACATAGACCTCCAGGCCTTCCGTGGGATCCTTCAGAGCCCCAGTGCACAAACTTTGTACTCTTCCACACCTCATTCTGGGGGAGGTCATCGAAGGACAATCTGTACATGCTTATTTGTACATCTTATGTTTTTCTCTCTAGTAAACACTGACTGATGCACCATCCTTGATACTGTCACTAAGTTTCCAAGGAAACTCTTCAGAAATCCATCAGTCAGCTAAAATCAGCAAAAGGAAACATGGTCATGCCAACAGATACCAGCTTTAAAACACTGGATACATACACAGGCTTTCTAAATGTGGACAGTGACTGCAAGATTTGGCAAATATACTGGTATCTCAATTGTCTTCTCTAACAGCAGAGCAGCCAAAATGTCTTGATACTATGAGAAGCGTGAATCATCTAGCAACAAGACTTCCTGAAACAAGGATTCAAATTCAGAATTTTGAGGATAATCTTGATTTCTGGTTCTAAAAGTAGCTCCATTACCCTTTCCACTTGGAATAAAAGATAGAGATATTTAGTGACTCCATGAACCCTTGTACCCAGCCCAAACTCATCTGGATTTCAGCCTGCCTCATTTCCTAATCTCCAAGCTGAACATTTTAATGGTTGAGATCAAACTACCCAGCACTCAACCACCATCCATTTCAACCTAAGTAGTTAAAAATGGTCAACATGAAAAGTGGACCACTTTGTTCCTAATTAAGTGAAGTCCCCAGACCCACCGATTTGAGCTTGGCTGTTGCCACAACAGAACACATGACTCACTTGGACTCAATTCACAGGATTTTCCTGTGCAGGCCGTTTGCCAATGGTGCCCCCATTCCCACTTTCCTTGTCTGTGTGCTCCACACAGTGAAGCTCTCAGCAGGATATCCCTGAAAGAACAAGCATTCATCAAGTTCTTTCCCAGTCCCTAAAGACATCAGGACAGCAGGAGCCTCAAAGCAGCAGTCTCTAAAACTAGGGATGGTTACTTTTGGCCTAGGGATAGATTTGTATTGGGTGCTTCATTAATTTTGTTTTTGAAGACACCAAGTTTTGATCACCAAAAAAGTGACTACAGCAAAAGAGAAGCAAAACTGAAAACTGACTGATGTCGCCAGTTTGCAAACGTTCAAAGTTGCAAACTCTCAGCTCTGAAGGGACCTTGCACCATGAACATTCGTAGATGGCAAACATCCATCTACAAAGCCACTAAAAACATTTTCTGCTCATCTGGCACCATGAACGGTGTTTGGAAGAACCTTTGCCACAGCGTGTTCATGAAGTTCATGGATCTGAGAAGATGGGTCAGGAATCCAAAGCGGTCTTCAACTTAGCTAGAAGGCAGAGTTCAAACTCCTTGCTGTGCAACACGAGCAGCTCACTAACGAGGGCCTGATGGAATTAGAATCCCAGGGAAAAGACAGCCAAGAGGAAGATGTAACCGAAGAACCAGACATTAACAAAGGAAATGGCAAGGGGATTTTCTTTACTTGCAGAGGTGCTGTTTTTGAAGCACAGCACCCCAATGTAGAATACAAAGGTGCATCACATTTAGAAAATTGACATTTGCAGACAACCCTTAAGCCATCAGGAAATCTAGCATTGCAGCAGCCGCAAAGGAAAATTTTAGTAAAGATCTGTACAGTTCCCTAAGATGGAGACAACCCTGTGCTTTCTTCTCCAGAAAAAGGCACATTTGAAGAACTTGATCTTTCAAGTTAGATTCTGGAAATGTGGAAGTGGAGCTAGTGAAATGTCAACGATGCTTTCGCTGGAAAAATTCTAAGACCTGAATGCAACTCTTTAAGGAGTAAAGGGAGGACAGGACAGCACAGTTGTGGAGTTCTCAGACAAATAATTTTAAGTCAATGAAAGCACTCGAGATTGCTTTTCTTACTTTGTTTGGATCATCTTATGCTTGCAAGCAGCAGTTTTTCAGATGCGAATTATATAAACCTGACAAGAAACAGATAAACTGTGTGCTGCTCTCAAATTAAGTTAGTCGAAGTTTGAGCCAAAGTTTGACAAATTAGCATGCACACAGCAGCAAAGATCACATTAACTGCACAAAAGCAGGCCAAATCCAAACTTACCATTCAACAAAAAGCTATTTGTAAGCATGGAGAGCTGTTTTTCAAGACAAAAGATATTTTCTAAACTAAAACCTCAGTATTCACGTTAAATTGCACCTGTGATAAGTGGGTTTGGGGTTGCCATTTGGGCATTCAGTCTCTAAAAGGCTCACCCATCAATGCTCTAAGCTTTCCCTATCAGGGGGTCTTGTCTGCTGAAGCTTTCCAAGACTTCAAAAATGCTACAGTGTTTTCTTCTCTACCTTTGCAGTCTCTAATACCTAAACACCTGCCCCCTCAACCTTGCTTCTCTCACCTTCTGCATTCTGCCCTCCCAGACTCACCCAGATTCCTCAGTTGCTTATAAATCCCCGAGTAAGCAACTTCCGTCATGTGATAAAATCCTTGCCAGAAATCATCAGGTCAAGCACTTGGCCCTGGGGTTCTGCAATAGCTGAATGAGAGTCAGCAGCATGAACTGGAGCCTTGGTCTGCCCTGGCCTTCACGGACACATGCTGGGCCCTCAGCACAGTATCCGAAACGTAGTAAGAACGTGAGATGTGCAATCTATGTTAATTTCTGCTCCGTACCCAAAGATGCATTTCAAGTCACCCAATTATCTCAAATCTTGTAACGGTCATCTACAAATTAGATTTGAACGTCAGTGTCAAATGAGAAAGCTGTACCAGTTCTGCGCCCCATTGCATCAACACGCTCAAATTACCTCCCATTTATCATACCCGATGCAGTACGGACCTAGGCCTCCTCCACGACAATGGATTAGGTTAAAACTTCAGGTGCACTGCTCATTTCTAAAGGAGCTAAAACTTCTACAACTAACTGAAGACCAAATAGGCCACTTGCTAACATGTCAAAGCAATTTTGCTCAGCGACTTTGATTTGCCTTGAGAACAGCAATATGTAAGATACTGTTCTCTTAAGGTTGGAGTTGACTGGTGGCTTGAATTTCTTCTTATATTCCACCCATTACTATTAATTTGGCTAAATTCCCTTTAAAGCATTAACTTAGCTCATTGTCATTAACGAGCCAACCCCACAGAGGAAACTGGTCCATTTGCTACCTTACCAGATGCAGTATAGTGAGGAGTCAGGGAGATTCAGGAATTGTTGCAGCCAGGGGTAGAACAGAGCAGTCAGGAGAACAGCTGTGCTTTCTACATCACACTGACCACAGTTGGGGGCAGTGCGGACACACGGTACAACACAGCTCTGGGAGCGAGTATCAGGCCCACATTTAGACGGCTAGAGCAGAACTGGTTCCTCTACCTACTGGGATGCAGCCCGCCCCAGAGTAGACGACCTAATGATACTGTCACATACTGAGATTATGTGCTCATAATTCCTATAATCTAACCCACCTTGTACCCGCCACTGTGATTTTGCTGTATAAATTATGCCTCAACAAAGGGCCCCAGCGGCCACCTAGAAGCTATTCCTGTGTCCAGTGAAACCATCTTCCCCCTTTGGCTCCTGACATTATTCCTCAATGTTGCAAGACCGAGAACTTGGTACACATCTGATATCTAACAGGTCAGGAGTTATTTCTCCTATACCATTATGACCATGAATCTACGTGT